TGTGTTACCCTCGTAAAATAGTCTTTATTATTATTATTATTATTGTGATATTGAAGTTTGGTCCACGGCAGTAATTATAGCCACAATAACTGGCTCTTTGTGATTTTGACTTATAGCTATGGCTAAAATTTTTGCCAAACATGAATTGGGATTATGGGAATAAGGACGTTGAGCATTCAAGTGCCATCAAGAGGAGATATTTATCGTCCTTTCACTGTGAAAATCACTTGTGACTCAGTATTTACTTCGATTTGTGGTGATGATTTCCCTTTGTCCCAAGTCAGGTGGAGAGTTATCTGTTTGGCTTCCCCCTGTGACAGTGGCTGACAGGAACACCCTTGTGCTGGCCTGTTTATATTGTTTGCAGATTAAATCTACAGAGAAATTGCTGCCAACTTTGTAAAGTTGATGGTTTCCAATTGGCTTTCCTTTGTAATAATCAAGGTATCCAAAAATAAAAAGCTCAGGTATCAAGATGACTTATTTATAATGCGTAAAAGCAATCAAACCAGTGAACTTACAATCAAACCCTAAAGACTGTAGAGATTGACACTTGGAGCTGGTGTTCTAAGGGATCAAGTATCACCCTAACTACAAGTCTTTGAAAAACTGTTACAATGCCTTATATTCAGCACTGAAAGGAAGATTGATTTAATAAAAAAAAAAAGAAACACTGAGGAGGAAATGTTGAAGTCCACTGATCATCTAAAAAGTGCGGTCTAAATTAGACTGCACTTGAATAACCCTTTGGGTCAGTTATGTGCACATTATTCTACCTTCTTGACACTGCCAGTCACTAAAATCAAGCCTATTTCACATTCATCTCTCGCCTTGAGAAATCTCGATTTAATCCACAACTTTGAGTGGCTGTGAATAAAAGGGATAGGTTTCTAGAGAAACTTTGGTGTTGCATTGTTAGGAGAGTAGAGCAGGGTGTCAGGATGGTTGTCCGGAAATTGTTTAATTTTTCACAGGTGTGTTTGATTAATGACTGTTTTGTTTGTAGTGTTCTAGGTTAGCCATGAAGTTATCTTAAAATAAGGGTTGTAAGTTTTGTTAAATGAAGTTATCGAAGAATAAGAGTTTTAAGTTTTGTCAAATGAAATAAATGAGTTTGAAATACACTTTGTCTTAGTAGTGCAACCCTCTCGTTGATTTACGGTCCCTGTGGAATTCACACCATAGCAATGTGCAATTAGCATTGTTCCAGAGACATCAGTCCACTAGAACAAGGTGCTGATTCAGTGAATAAAAAATTTTCTCCATAGAAAAGTGGGTGAGACTAGAATTTAGTCACCATTTTCATGCTTGCCATTGTACGGTCTAAGTTGGTGTGGTGCTGAAAGAATATAGACCATATTTGTGGAAAACTGTCTTACTCACCTGGTAGCCATGATTTCGGGAATTTCTCGCTTCAGGTGCGCCACCATAGCATCTCCACAAAGCCTCTAGTTGAACTTGACCTTTTTGCCCTCTGGGGCATGAGTTGGGTTTTGACAAACACAACACAGTGCACAGTGTCGTCCACCCAAATGAATGTTCAGCAGGGCTTCACGCCCTGTAGCCCGCCTGCAGTGTGTGTCTTGTGAACCAACTTGTTGTGCACTGGAGTCAAAAATTGGCCCGATGGCTCCTACACTGTGATCACCAGACATTTCAAACAAGCTGTAACAGGGAGCAAAAAGAACTTCTCTCGTTCATCTGAAAAGTAGTGTCATTTAAAGAAATGTTGCTTTGCAGGACACTCACAGTATCAAATATAATGTCTGAAATGATGATCACTGAGGTGTGGCATTTCTAATTTTTCTTTTCTCATAATAAGGTGTATTTGGGATACAAAGCTTTGTACAAGCTGGTTAACATTCCTGAGATTTTATAACATTACCTGTCAGTCATTTCAGATTCGATGAACATATTTTATTAGTAGCATTTCTCCATACTCCAAGTCAGAGTCGTACAGTGGCTCATAAGGGACACACTGATTTTTTCCTTCGCAAGTTACTAAGTTGTGATTGCAACTTACTAACTTGCGACCACAACTTAATGAC